CCCCCCCCCCCCCCGGGGCTACCACACTATTGTCTGTGTCTATGGGTTAGCATATATGCATATAAGTTTTTGGTTAATCTTTTCCAGGCCCCCCCTCTCCCCTTCCTTCTGAGATTCATCAGTCTATTCCATGCTTCCATGTCTCCCGATCTATTTTACTTGTCACTTTATTTTGTTCATCCCAAAATGATTTCTAATACTTCTGGCCCTCTTTGGCTGAGCTAAGAAGCCCTTCTCCTGCATCTTCAATTTGCTATTGCCTCACCCCTGGAGTACTTCAGTGACAGATCTTCTTATTTCTGTTTCTCCATGCAGTCTACCTTGCATAATTCAGCCAGATTAATGTTTGGAAAATGCCACTTTTCAACTGTACCCCAGAAACTTTACTCTCCATTGTCTAAGGATTAGTCTGGCTTTTAAGGCACCCCACAGTCTCACCCTGTCTTGTTATCTGTTTAAAATACAGAAGGCCTTATCTTGGTTCCTGCTATTAACATATCCTATTCATCTTTAGCACCTAGTTCAGATGCTGATTCTTTATTTGTTCAATCAACAAATGTTTGAATGTGTTACCCTATGCCAAGCACTGTTTTAGGCCCTGAGAATTCATAATGGAATAAAACAGACTAAGTCCCTGTTCTCATGGAAATCACATCCTAGTAGGAAAGTCACACCTCCTCTTCCCACAAACTATCCCATAATCCCCATCAATCACTGCCTCCTCCGACCTCACAATTTAGAGGGTATAGAGGGGATAAATGGTGAGGAAAGGAGACTTGACTTGGAGTGGTGACCGCACAATACAGTGTACATTTGATGTATTATAGAATTGTGCACCTAAAACCTATATAATTGTATTAACCAATAGCACACCATTCATTTCAATAAAAAAGAAAAAGTATGACTAGAAATGCTACGTACATTTTGCATTCTACTAGAATTGATACATACAATTGAGTGTTGCCCTTCCAGGTGATGAGCCCCTTGGAGCTATGGCATGTACTCTGATGCTCTATGAGTTATTCAAAACATGTATAGCACTTTTCTTTACGAACATCCTCCAGAGCCTGTAGTATACTCACCTGAATATCCTCAGCTGTGGCAGATGCTCATCCTTTGAGGATGCACTGGATTTTTAAAAACAGCCTCAGGTCTCCCAGTATAGAAAATTATCTAAGTGAGAATGTGTGACAGAAGGAAGTAGACTGGTTTTTTGACGTCTCAAAAATGGACTCTTGAAGGTGCTGCCCAAAGGGAAATCCAGAGAAAACACAAGAAGATGACAAGCAGCACTCAGATAATGTCACAGCCTGCCCTATTTAAATTCTCTGCTTGAATTTTTTAAACCTGTATTTCATATTCTCCCAATTAAATTATAAGTCCCTTAGGAATAAGAAGTTTCGTTTGGGTTTTTTTGTGTATGTCATCCACAGTGCCATCTTTGCATATAGTAAATGATCAATATTAATATGTCAATTGTTTGATGAAGCAGTGGTAAAGGCAGTAAAACATTAGCTGATACTGTTAGTGTCAACATACACTGTAATAATTTCCTGACTCTTATTGGCATTAATTGATTTAAAATACAGGGTGGGCAAAAGTAGGTTTATAGTTGTGAGTACATGAAACAGTTAATAAAGCTATTGTAATAATCATAACCTTCATGTCTTTTCCCATACGAACAACTGTAAACCTTTTGTCCTGCCCTGCATATACTTACAGCTTTATGTCATTCTACTTTATGATTTTGCAAATCTAATTGGCATTTAAGATGCAGTACTATTAGGTACTTGTATTGTGTGATTTAATTTCTTCACACAGAAGACTAGCAACAGGTTTTTATAAAGTGAGATCTCTCTTCTGCCTTGGTAGGGCAAAAGTTCTTATTAATATGAATTAGTCATTTATTTTGGGGTTATTCACTTACAACTCTAGAATACAGACTTATTGCCTTCTGATGTTAGAAGGGCTTAGGACTGACTGTATGTAATAGTTTCCTGTTTTAGTTTAAAAATTTGATTAATTGAAAACATTAACGCTTTTCTCCATTTCCCCCCCCAGAACCTTTGTTTCATTTTGCCACAATTTTTGTACCAGTTCTTCTGCGGATTCTCACAACAGGTTTGTTCCCCTAGTTATTTGTTGTCATGTACTTTACATTTGCTATTAATAATTTGCCTTTTTATGTATTGGATTATAGGTATGGAGAGGTATGTCCGAAGTAAAAGGAGGGTTGTTGTTTTTTACTCAACTGTTAATCTTGGCTTGCATTTTGACAATAGCAAATGTTTGCGTTTTTGCTTTAACAGTGTTCTTGTTACTTTGTTTTGAAAATTCTTTAATATATCTGATTAGAATTGAGATAACCTTTAAAAGAATATTCTGGGGTTTTTTCCTTGTATCAGTGTATGCAATATTTTCCAATAATCCTAAAATGTTATAGTGTAATATTTTATCAAATAATATCTCACACCTTTGCAGTTTCTCAGATTGGTTTTCTAGAGAAACGTTGACCTTTACTAGTAAGCTGGCCACGAAGCTGTGATTCCTGGATAAAACCTTGGATTACTTGAGTAACTCTACATTTTTTACCCTCTATTGTCTTCTGAACATTTATTGCATAAAGAATATGATATATGTTAACTTGATATTTAAGTGGCAGGATAAGCAGACACATTTGTCAGTTTGTTTTAACAACTGAAATGGATTTTGCATTGTTTCTAGTGGAAGTGCAGCTAAATATAGGAACTATAATGCTCAGTGACTCAGAAATTTTCATAGGTAATCTGTGAGCAGTTCAGTGATTTTGCCAAGCTGAACTACTGGTAACGTCACCACAGGTATTACAGATTGAGTTTCTAAATTTTAAGGTATGTTTAATTCCTCATGGTAGGAAGTGATTTTTTTTTCTAATTTCTTGGCAGAATTTTTAAGCGAATGTATTCTGTCAAAGGGAAATGACTGCTCTCTTTGTCTTGAACTTACCTCTTTACCATTTGGTATGCTGTCTCTTACTTACATCGGTACTGCCATGTCATCAGCCACATAGGGCCAGTTAAGCAGATTGCTTTATGAATTAATCATCTAGCTGTAGGAAGTGCTATCAACTTTCTTGTATTCAAAACTTACAGTTTTAGCTACAGAGAGTTTTATGGATTCTGATGAGTCTGCTTTTCTTGAACATTGAAATTACTATTGATCCAAATGTTTCTAATTCCTCACTTAGATGAATGCAAGTATTAAAAAACATTTCAAATTTTGTTGCAAAATACTAAAGGGAAATTGGCTTAATCTGGTTAAAACATTGTTTTTTATTTTGGAAGGAGCCTGTTGCTTTGTTATCTTTTTAAAACATGTTTATGAAAGCACAAATTTTTTGAAGAAAGGAAGGACTTACTCCTAATAAGGTCAGCTGAGATTCAGACTGTGGGCTGTCTGGGGTCTGTTAAGGTTACCTTAACTGCTTAGATTTTCATAGGAGTTGATGTTTGGCTTCGTTAGTTGTTCAACTAGTATGCTCATTCACTTAACAAATATATCTTGGGTGTCTAGTATGTGCCCGGCTAAGTGCTGGGGATACAACAATGATCAAAAATCTTACCCCCATAATGCTGGGGGAAAGACAGACTACATTCAGATAAACATATTATCAGTTGCTGATAAATGCTCTGAAGGGGGTGAAAAAGGATAACAAATGGATAGAGTGACTGGGGAAGAGGGCCACTATTAGAGAAGATGATTTTGAAAGTTCTCTCTGATGATGTGACCTTTAGGTGGAAATGTGAAGGATATAAGGGAAGGAGCTATATGGATGTCTTAAAGTAAACGGAAGGTTTCTGAGGTGGTGACCTGGTGTATAACATCTTTAGTTTTGAATTTGGCCTAGTGCTCTGCGCTGAATGTAGCAACCTTTGTTGCAAATATTTTTGGAACCTTTTTCAACTTAGGTCCACATCAGGTGTTCTCTGCAAGCCTGAAATTTGGAGGGTTGTGCTATGGAGAAGTAGAAGTGGGACCAGGATTCTGATTCTTTAGCAAAAAGCAGGTCTTTCTTTAGCAAAGCTAGAGTAGTACTGGTCATGAAAATAAAACGTTTAACAGTAAGTAACTAGGGGACAAGAGGAAACCCAGAACTTCTAAATCCAATTCCAAGATTCAAGGTTTACACTGAAGAAAATTTTCAAAGCTCAAGTCCCTTCCTAAGATAATGCTTTTTATATCTTCTTTCTAAAACCTGGTTCTCACTAGAGATTTATATATTAAAGGGGATAAGACTTTTTCTGCAAAATACATCAAACATGAGAATAAAGCAGAAAAGTGTTAATAGATGTATGTACTACTTTTCTTATAAATAAATGAATGAATGAATGAATGAATGAATAAATAAATAAATAAAACATTTACAACAGGTTTAACAAATAATATTATCAAGTAAAGCTGTTGTTTTAAGGACATTCTCTCTTCTCTAATTATGCATCTAAGAATTACAATTCTCTTTCATGTAACCTCAAACTACCATAATGGAACAAAAGTAGATTTTTTAAAAATATATATATATATTTATTGATTTCAGAGAGGAAGGGAGAGGGAGAGAGAAAGAGAAACATCCATGATGAGAGAGAATCATGGATTGGCTGCCTCTTGCATGCCCCCCACTGGGGATCCAGCCCGCAACCCGGGCATGTGCCCTGACCGGGAATCGAACCATGACCTCCTGGTTCATAGGTCGAGGCTCAACCAAGGAGCCACGCCAGCCAGGGCTCAAAAGTAGATTTTATTTTCATTTATCTCTATTGTTGAAAGTATTACAGATGTTCCATTCCCCCCCTCATTGACCCCTTCCACGTCAGGCCTACCGCACCATTGTCTGTGTCCTTGGGTTATGCATATGCATATAAATTCTTTGGTTAATCTCTTTCCACCCCACCTTCTCCCCTGATGCTTCTTTTGTTTGAATGAAATTCAAGACTAAATTATACACCAATCAATCGGAAGATTTTTTTTTCAATTTTTTCATTAGCAAAAATGGGTAATTGTATATCAACAGACTAGTACTCTCCCTTGAGAATTCAGTAAAATATTTTTACTGAGTTTAAATCTTTGTATATGAGAAGTATCTCCATGTTCATTGAGAATTTTGCATGCACATTATCTTGCTTTGTTTCTACAATAGGTAAGAGTTGTCCCTTCCTCTAGGCTCCCCCAACTCTTTGTACTCTCACCACCCTGCCTCCCTCTCTGCAATTTGAGTGCCTCAGCTGACAGGGTACTAATCTTCTTTGTCCCCAGTGCTTGTCACTTAGTAAGCACTCAGTAAATGTTTTTGAAGTCAACTAATGAATGAACCAATGTTCTATTCAAGTTGTTCTCAACGTTTTTGAGGCAACTCCCATTATGATAGTAAGTGAATCTTTATAACTATTGTTTGAAAATGCATAATTGTATTAATTTATGTTACATTTAAATACATTTTAATTAAAATAACATTTATATGTGTGAAAGTACAGATAAATATGGGATATTATTCATTCAGGCCACAGGTAATGGTTGTATGAAAACATCTAGCACTGTGTAGAAAAATACTGAACTCAGTAAGTATATTCATTAAAATGAGGATCAGATAATACCTTAATTTTTTTCCATAAAGGAAAATTTACAATATCAGATCATTCTTTTCCAAATGTGCTGTGGCTTCCATTATCTACTCAGTCATTCATCCAGTATTTATTGAATGCTTTTTATATGCCAAGTGCTGTCGTAAGAGCTGAAGGTTGTCAAAGCCCTCTAGCCAAACACCACCAGGAACACATTTGTAGTTGATCAAATTTTCTTTAATACCGGATGCAATGACAAAGAATATACACCATGAAGAACAGTGGGGCTTCTCAGGAAGAGAGTATTAGAAAGGTCTTATAAGATTTGGATTGAGTTAGGTAATTTGGGAAGGATTTAAGAAGATCCTTAATTTTATGACCGGGCATTTTAGTAAATCTTACCCAGAAGGAATGAAGACTAGAAGGAGGCTAACCCTGTTATCGGTCAAGAAGCAACAGTTACTCATATTAGCCAGAATGGGGGTGTTGGTCATTATTTATGATTTGAAAAATATTCATGCTCTGTCTGTGTTCAGATGTGATTGTGGAGTGGTCTTGTTTTTGTTTTGATCCATCATAGTCACAGAATGGCCTTGTTTGATGTTGCATTTCTATGAAATTGTGCATGTTTGGCAGGAGAACACCTATGCCTAGCTATAAGTGACAGGTCAACTCGATAATGTCAGGGGCCGCTTTACTTTTTTTCAAGCTACAGCGATCTAATGTGAATTGAAACAAACAAAAAGTTGGGATAGCAATAACTTATACCGGTCAAAATAGGCTTTAAAACAAAGACTATAACAAGAAACAAAGAAGGACCCAGCGACTCCACTTCTTTATCTAAAGAAACCTAAAACACTAAATCAAAAAGACATATACAATAAAAAAAGAAAGAAGACATATACATCCACACGTTCATTGTAGCATTATTTGCAATAGCCAATTTATAGAAACAACTACAATCACACATACACACACACACACACACACACACACACACACACACACTGGAATATGATTCATCCATAAAAAAGCATGAAGTCTTGCCATCTACAACAACATCGGTAGACCTAGAGGGTATTATGCTCAGTGAAATAAGTCAGAGAAAGACAACTGCCAGATGATCACTATATGTGGCATCTAAAAACCAAAATAAACAAGCAGAATAGAAACAAATTCATAGATACAGAGAACATTATGACAGTTGCCATATTTTGGGGGTGTTAGGACAGGATGGCTGAAGGGATTAAGAAGCACAAATTGGTAGTTAAAGAATAGTCATGGGAGGTAAAGTACAGTTTAGGGAATACAGTCAATAATATTGGAATTATGCATGGTGCCAGGTGGGTACTTGATTTATCAGGGGGGATCACTTTGTAAGTTATATAAATATCTAATCACAGGATTATACACCTGAAACTAATATAATATTGTCAACTGTAATTTAAAAACAAAAACATATTTAAAACATTTTTAACTCCTTTTTCAAACTGTCTTGTTTTAGCTTGTGATTTTTTCCAACACAACTTCTTAAAGATGATTGTTCAGTACATTTTTTTCTCTTTCATTGTTTGTCATTTCAGCCACTGTATGATGCTGCTTACCTTACAATGTACAATATCTGCTTCACATCCTTGCCCATCCTAGCCTACAGTCTACTGGAACAGCACGTCAACATTGACACTCTGACTTCAGATCCACGATTGTATATGTAAGTTAAACATTGCAGTTAAGATTTCCTCAGACTTACAAAGTTGTGGGTTTCACTTTGTATGAAGAAGGGAAAGACACAGACTGCCCACCTGGTTTGATCACATGATTCTCTGGCATTCACCAGGAAAATCATATATTTCCTAGGTGTAGGTACTGTACTTGAATGTGTTTGAGCCATTTAGTTAAAAATCATTAATTCCTAAAACTTGCATCTACATTGTCATAGAGTTCTGGAGTCTTAGAGGAAGACACGATATTTTAACTACAAAAAAAAAGCCTCACACAAAGATTTTTATTAGTTTAGAACATTGATTTCTACCTATAATAGATTGAACTGATGATATTGTTAGGACTTATCTTGTAAACTGCCCCTGAAGCATAGCTTCTCTCTCCCTTTGTTAGGCCCATTCGAAAACTGTTTGTTGAAGGAATTAATTCATCAAGCCATTATATCCATTTTGTGTCAGTTGGAAATGCATGTGTTTCTGTATGGATGGGGACTTAGCACTAGCCCCAGTTGCTTAACCTATGACTTAATTGGATTTTTATAAGTTAAGCCTTAAAGCTAAGGATAAAGATGTTAATTTACAGCAGATTATAAGCATTGCTAAATAGTGGATGTCAAGTGCAGTACATAGACTTGTGTGGCTTATTTGTATGAAGTGAAGGTGTACAAATTAAGGGATTTTTTTAACCAGTATGACTCATAAAACTCACCTTAATTATTAGACCTAACCAGATTTATAAAATATATCATCATCATTTTAAAGGTATTTATTATGGGAATTTTCAAACATGCACAGAAGTAGCAAAAAAATACTATTAATACGGTGAACTTCCCTGTCCTTACCACTCAGCTTCACCAATTATCCATACAGAGCCAGTTCTCTTTCATTAATAACCATCTCTGCTCCACCAGAGACTTATTTTGGAGCAAATATTAAGCATTGTCTAAAATAGTTATTTCAGTATGTTTGTCTTAATGATAAGGACTTAAAAATAACAGTACCCTATCATACCTTAAAATTTTACAAGTTCATAATATCACATATTCGGCCAATGTTCAGATTTTTCCAACTGACTCATTTCTTTGAATTGCAGGCTTGTTTTAATGAGGATATAAAGTCCATATGTTGCCGTTGGTTAATATGCTTCTTGAGTTTCTCTTTTTTTTTTCTTGAGTCTCTTTTAATCTGTAGGTTAACCTGGCAATTTATTTGCTGATGATATGGGATCATTTATCTTATAGATTTCCCCTGATCTAGAGTTTGCTGATTGCATTGATGGCATCATTTAACGTTTTTCTTTTCCTGTATTTGTTGCAAAGGGATAGTTAGATCTAGAGGGAATCATAGAAACCTTGGTTGAAATCTTACAGAGTATCATCTCCCATGCTCTCATTTAAAAAAAAAATGAAGAACCAGGACCCAGAAATGACTTGCCTAAGAACACAGGGTATAACTAGAAGCCAAACTAAGATTAGAATTCAGTCCTCCTGATAATCAGCCCTGTGCTCTTCCCAGCAGGATGATCATTCTCAAACACTGAGCCAACAGTGTATTCTGTCTTATGACAAACAACAAAAGTGAAGCCCAATAGTGCTCTTGCTCTGATTGGAGTGGAGTTTGGGGAGCAGTGCGCAGAATCCCTCCCATGCAGCCCCAGCAAGTGCTCAAGCTAATTGTCTGAGTTCCAGTTCTGGCTTTGCCACTCACTAATTGTGTGACCTGCACAGGTTACTTAACTGAAATGAGCCTCAATTTCATCTTCAGTAAAATCTGGGCAACAAGAACACCTAATCTGCAGTGGTTTTATGAGGGTTAGATGAGTGACAACACATAAAAGAACTTAAAACAGTGACTGGAACATAGTAAGTGTTCATAGATTGTAGCTATTGATCTTATTCTAACACTCTCTTCCACTTTACTTCTGGGCTGTGCTGAGCACTTTCATACATTAAGAATGTTGAAAACTTAAAGAAAACTGTTGAGCACAAATTATTGTAAGGGTTTTCTGAAGTTTTACTTACTGAACAGCAGGTGTAGGTAATGAACCATTTTGCATAGAGCATGGTTCTCAACCTTGGCTGCACATTAGAATCACCTGGGAATCTATTTAAAATCCTGATTTCTGGGCTTCATCCTCCGGAAATTCTGTTTCTTTGTTACTAATGTTGTGGCCCCACCCCATAACAAAGAAACAGAATTTCCGGAGGATGAGGCCCAGAAATCAGGATTTTAAAAAGATTCCCAGGTGATTCTAATGTGCAGCTAAGGTTGAGAACTACTGGCATAGAGGGTATACTTGCCACATCTGATGCAGAAATGAAAGCCATGGCATACCTGTTGACCAGCCCAAAATTCAGTTTTCTTTGTGTGCTCTGATGAGACACTGCTCTTGGCCTGTCACTGTAGATTACTCTACAGGGGAGGCACCTCCCTAAAGATCCTTGCAAGAATTGCCCAGCAACTGCCAGCCAATGAGGCTTTTGAGAGTCACTGTCATGGGCTGAGTGAGGCAGAAGGTAGTCCCTGTGTTTCCATACCTTCTCTGGAGTTACATTATACACTGTGGGAAGATAGGCAGGGACATCATAGTATGTTAGTAATATTCTGACTTGTACTAAGAAGATTGTACTATTTTTGACAGATTTTAAACTTTTGCTCTGTCCACATCCCATTTATCAAATCATGACTGTACAGCTTCAAACATGTTATTTGACTCAACTAAAAAAGTATAAAGGGCATCCCAAGACCAAAAACGGTTAAGCTCCCAGGAAGAAATCTTGATTAAAAGAAACATTTTAACAATTGTAGTTGGGAAGCAGAAGTATCTTGGTTGAGAGCATATGATTTAGGTCAAGTAAATCTAGAATTGTATACTAGCTCTGTCCCTTAATAAATGAGTGAACTCTGATGTGCTGCTACACTGGTGGTTCCCAAACTTTACTGCATGGTAAAATCACCTGAGGAGCTTTAAAAATATCCTGATGCCCAGCTTAGTCTTATACCAATTAAATCAGACTGAGGTTGGGAGCCAGGCATCAGTGTTTTCAAAGATCCCCAGGTGATTCCAATGTGCATCAAAGTTTGGTATATCTTTTGAGGCTCCTTATCATTTACAGATAGGAGTGATAAAAATACCTATCTCATGTGGTTTTTATGTGGATAAAAATGGAATATATATATATATATATATATATATATATATATATATATATCTTCTAACCTACTTTTCTGACATATAATAAGTGCTCAATAAATGGGAGCTAATTATTATTGATTATATTATTGCTGTCAGGTGACCAGAATTTTAACGTAGAAATGCTTGGACAGTTTACTTCATTACCTCAATCAGGAGGTGATTGCATAAAAATAAACCTGTGGTTCAGTCTGACCTTTTACTGAAAGCCTTTCAGTCCCTCAGAGCTAGCTCCTTTCATTATAACAGGGTCAAACCCCATGTGCACTTTTGGCAATTTACCATAACTTTAAATAAACAGACTACAGAGATTCATTAACCTGCATTTTCCCCCCATTTCTCAATAGGAAAATTTCTGGCAATGCCATGCTGCAGTGGGGCCCCTTCTTATATTGGACATTTCTGGCTGCATTTGAAGGGATAGTATTCTTCTTTGGGACTTATTTTCTTTTTCAGAATTCATCCCTAGAAGAAAATGCAAAGGTAAAAAAATGACATTGTTCTTTTGGTACTATAAGTATGGCTTATCTTTTTTCCATGAGCACTGGATCAAGTATACACATATTCTAGCTGTAATCATTTTGCAATTTTTTAAAGGTAGATTAATTCTCACAACTTCTTTAGAACAGTAGAAGTGTTGAAGTATAAAATCACTTCCTATGTGTATGACTAACTAGAGAGCTTATGTGCAAAACGTTTGGAAGCTTAACTTAACTTGGCTGTAATTTTTATTGGATGAACAAAGTTCTTGGGACCTCAGACTTTGGGCCACTGTACTTGGATTTGAGCAAGGCTTTTTCTGTTTTAAAAGGAAAGTCTAGACCCACTCAGTTCTTATTCATAGTGGCCTTCCATGCTTAGAGTTCAAGGGGGTAACTGACATTTGGAATTCCCTTCTCTTCCTCCTTCCCTTCCACATGGTAGCATAGTATTTTCCTGAAAGGCTACACTGATCCTGCCATTGCCTTCCCAGCAAGCACCAAATAGTTTAGCCCCGGCATTGGAATGATTTTGCCCTGTCTGCTGTGGAAGAGAATGGAATGATGTCTTCCTACAGCCACACAGTGGAAAATCAAACCAACTTGTATGCTGCTTTCACTGTGTTTGATATTTCTGGGCTTCCTCTTTTATGGTAATTCATTATTTATCATCATAATGTGAAGCAAAGCTAAGGTTCAAAAAGAATTTACTGAGTACAACGACTGTGTCTAGAACCTAGAATCAGTATCTGTTAGGGAAGTGATCGGCTCAGTGGGTTTGAATGATACTTTAAATTAGGTATTATAGTCAAAACCTCTCTAATTTGGATTGACAAGTCAGTTTAGTATGAATCCATTAAACTTATTAATCACTATTAACTTTTGAGGAAATACAAATCTAGTACTTTAGAGTAGGTTCATGTAGCACTTACCAAAAAGCGTGCCCTACTTAATCTCTCTGCGTGTCCTTGGGCAAGTCACTTCAGCTTTCCAAGTCAACTTTGCCCATCAGTAAGAAGAAGGAATTCAGTTTTATGATTTCTCAAGTCTTTAGCTTTATGAATGATTTTGTGACTTTCACTTTTTATTTGGCACATAAATTATATAGAGCTGACTCTTGCTTTTTAAAAAATGTGCTGCAGAGTAGGTGGATATTCTGCAGTCCCATTGACATGGTTCTTTTGCTCAGCAAATTCTTCAGGTGGTGCATGGGGAGCCTCAACACAGCCTACGTCCAATCCATCACCCATGTTCAGTCCATGATGTCCAGATTAATTAGATTTTACTATATATGTCACCTTCCTAAATGTTTGCTAAAGTTACAGTAAGTGTAAGAACTGTTATCAGCAGTTAAACATGATGCCCATGTATGATTTGATCAAATTCTTTTTTTTTTTTTGCTTCTATTAACCTTAATTTTTTGTTTTTATTTTTGGAAACCTTTTACATTTCATTTTCTGTTTTAATGTTATGCATTCAGATCTTGACAGCATTTGGTAAGCATATGTGCCATTCATTGCCATCATTTGGATTTATACATGGTATCCGCTTTTCTTTGATGTGCACATGCTAACAGCTCTAATGTTTACAGCCAAAAATTAGACTGTTTTTAAAGTGTGAGTCCATTTGTCTGCATATTAGTCCTTAGTTCAGAGCTTTTGTTTTATATTATAGAAAAAGCCCATATCAATCTCTTTAGAGATATGAGTCATGCAGTGACTTGTTTTGAGGAACATTGTTAGTGAAATAGTGTTTTTTTCTGCCTTTATCATAGCAGTGTTTTCCCTGTTTCATGCTGCTTGGAATAATGGAAATAAGTGCTACCAACCACAAATGTGGTTTCCCTGACCAAGAAAATTTACAGTCACAATTAAATCTAGCAATTTGGCCTGATCCTTTAACTTGATATTCCCCAAACAATTTATACAATACTTTTTTGCAGTTATACACAAGATTATATTTGACTTTTCTTTTTTTGCAGGCTTGTGTATTCTTGGTACATGTAATTATTAATTTTTTTTCAGGTGTATGGAAACTGGACTTTTGGAACCGTTGTTTTTACAATCTTAGTATTCACTGTAACTCTGAAGGTTAGATTTTTATTTATTCAAGTATGTTTAACACCATTTTTATAATGATTTCTAGTCTTGTACTAATACTTCTTTTTTGTCTTTTAATCTTTAATTTTATTATGGTTGTCATCCAAGATGAATGCTTACTAAAATATGTATGATATTAGAGATTTAGGCATTTGTATACTATTTGTGATTCATTTTTTACTGTATGTTGTCTATCCTCTTTATTTTGTTGTTTGTTTGTTTTTAATTCATACACCATACTTATGTCGGAAATCTGTTCCTTCTTTCCAGCTATTTTCAAGATGTTATAAGTGGTATATAATCAGACTGTGTGTGTGTGTGTTTTTCCATGTTAAGTACTTGAATATTTTTTAAAGTTTTATATTTGTTTAAGAATGCCAGGCCTTAAATGAATCTGAGTACTTAAGATAGTTCAGCAAGATCCCTATGCAAAATAACTTGGTAGTGTGAAATTTTATATAATGTATTTATCACTGAAATTTATATTAGTGATCAAATGCATAAAAATATATAGCAGATAATATACAAGAAGGGTTGTTTAGGCAAAATCATTGGCAGCCATGTAATAATGGTTCTGAAGCCTTGATAAATGCTACCCTTAAGGCTCATGAATTGGGACTGTCTTATAGTTGAAAAAATAATCCAATTCTTTTAATGGTTCCAGTAATAAACACCTCACATGTGGTCCAAGAATGAGTGCCTTTAAATTAATTCCAGTATGCCCAGTAGTCAGAACTAGAATTAAGAAATGTAATAGACTTCTAATCATTTCCCCTCTAAAATTAATTCCTGGTTAATTTTTTATACCAAAAAGAACTAACATATGTTTGCATCTACTATTTCAGCGATATTTTGGGACTACCAAAAATGTTACAATTCATCTCAGTTTAGCCACTTAATAGCAGGGTATAACCTTGGACAAGTGATTTGGTTTCTCAGTATCTCTATTTCCTCTTTTATAAAATGGAGATAAAAGTAGCACCTACCTCTCTTAGGATATTTTGTGAGAAGTCAACTAATGATACATAAAGCACTTGCAATGGACGCTGGCACCTAGAATGTGCTCAGTACAATAAATGTCAGTTGTTTTTTATTACTATGATTTACAGGGTCATGATTTGAAATAGAAGCCTCCTCACCCTTTTTCCCACCTGGCCTTGTGTGTGGTCCCAGGGCTTTCAGGTGCCCTTCATAGTTAGAGTTGGCCTTACTGCAACATCTTTCACTAATCCTTCAAAAGACATCCACTCCCTTTTCTTTGGATGGATATTATTGTAACATTATCTCTGACAGCCCAGAGGATGTGCATTCAGGACTGGGCTACATTAACAATGTTATCAACATCCTGTTTATGAGTGTGAAACTAACAGAGAGCTAAGGACCATGGTGTCACAACAAGTATCAAAACTGAGATACCACCTCCTTTTTAATAATTCAATGCCCTGGCCCACTGGTCGGCAAACTTCGGCTCGCGAGCCACATGTGGCTCTTTGGCCCCTTGAATGTGGCTCTTCCACAAAATACCACGTGCGGGTGCGCACATACAGTGCGATTGAAACTTCGTGGCCCATGGACAGAAGTCGGTTTTCGGCCTGGGCGAGTCTATTTTGAAGAAGTGGCTTCAGAAGAAGTGGGGGGTGTTGGTTGGTCGGGCGATAGGAGACGCAGCGCAGGGGGGCCGCGGGATAGGAAGTGCGGCGGAGGTTCATTGTTTTGAGGTACGTTCGCTGAGGTTGGCCCCTTCCAACTCTCCCATCCACACTCATCTATCTGAAACAAGTATACAAGACGAGTGTGGATGGGAGAGTTGGAAGGGGCCGACCTCAGCGAACGTACCTCAATCAGATTGGGGACGTTTTTAGCAAAGACCAGCTTAGGAGTACCCTAATTAAGTTAATAACAATGTACCTACCTATATAGTTTAAGATTAAAAAATTTGGCTCTCAAAAGAAATTTCAATTGTTGTACTGTTGATATTTGGCTCTGTTGACTAATGAGTTTGCCGACCACTGCCCTGTCCCTAACCGGTTTGACTCAGTGGATAGAGCGTCAGCCTGCGGACTGAAGGGTCCCAGGTTCAATTCCAGTCAAGTGCAGGTACCTTGGTTGCAGGTACATCCCCAGTAGGAGGTGTGCAGGAGGCAGCTGATTGATGTTTCTCTCTCATCGATGTTTCTAACTCTCTATCCCTCTCCCTTCCTCTCTGTAAAAAATCAGTAAAATATATTTTAAAAATAATAATAATTCAGTGCCCTGGATATTAATTCATGTGACCCAGAAATTATAAGCAAGTGAAGCAGACTATACTCCCTTGTTTTTAGATTGCATTTGAAAATCCCAGTTCCACAATCTATGGAAACAATCAGCCCTGGCAGAAACATGAAGGATTTTAGTCTAGGGCAGTGGTCGGCAAACTCATTAGTCAACAGAGCCAAATATCAATAGTACAACGATTAAAATTTCTTTTGAGAGCCAGATTTTTTAAACTTAAACTATATAGGTAGGTACATTATTATTAACTTAATTAGGGTACTCCTAAGGCTTAGGAAGAGCTACACTCAAGGGGCCAAAGAGCCGCATGTGGCCCGAGAGCCGCAGTTTGCCGACCACGGATCTAGGGCAACTGAAAATGTTATTAATTTAATTGAATAGGTAAGGATTTTCCAATTGAAAGGCACACTACATAGTCAGACCCATGATCCATTGCTACATGATGCAGGCATATAGAGCTAGTTTCCTTTGTATTTAGTAAGCCCCTTCAACCCCTGTCTTTGTTGTGCTTGAGCTATCAAGATTCTTTGTGTAGTTTGTTTACCCTTCCTAGCTACCCCTTCCCTCTCCTGTTTTTAGTATACCTGCCTCCACCAGCTAGCCTTCTCCTTTTGCCATCATCTCCCTGGCCACCACTACCTGAGGACTTGGGGCTCCAGACTCCTAGATGTTATTATTACCTCATTCTTTGCCCTTCTTTCACTAGTGAGACATCTGTAGCCCCATACTTGCTTGCTTGACCTCATCACTACACCTGTACTCTGGAGTCTAGAGGACTTAGGACAGAGTTGAGCACTTTCATACCCTAGCTCTTTGAATATCTTAGACTCTGTTCTCATTTTAGTTCCATTCTTTCCTGGAAGCCTGGCCCAAGCTAGGTGCTCCCGTACGTATCATATTGTATACAAGTTATCAGGTACCATAGTGTATTATAGCTTGGTGCTGTCTGTACTCATCATGAAATCTCTTGTGTTATATCTTTTCAGCTTGCCTTGGATACTCGTTTCTGGACATGGATAAATCACTTTGTGATATGGGGTTCTTTAGCCTTTTATGTATTTTTCTCATTCTTCTGGGGAGGAATTATTTGGTAAGCAGCTGTATATATGTGAGTAATATGTAAATAGGAAAATAGGTATATGTATATATACATATATATATATATATATATATACACATTGTATATGTTCCCCCCCCCCCAAAAAAAAACCCACACACAACAACACAATGAGATGGTGATTTTAAGATATAACCCTCTGAGTATTGAGTGGTATATATTCTATACCCTGAATACATCTGTAGTGACATGAATGATAGCTATATACCATAAAGAGAGAATAGGGCCCAAATAGATAATAATGTAGCTATTTTGTGTAGAATCTTTACAGGATGAGTACTTCCACTATAAATCACATGGGAGGTTATGCTAGAAATTAGTTTCACTTCACAGAAAGGTGTTTACACACTTTCAAGTTGAAAGATTTGACCGGGGACTACCAGAAGGGAGGTTTTTTGAGTAACTTGTGAAGTATTTTGCATTTGAAATCTCCCTGAAATTAGCAGTGTTACTGGCTAGTATTTAATATTGAGGACATGCCATCTTATAGAATCAAAACTTTTAAAAGTATAATTAATGTGGCTTCCCCTGATAATGATGTCAGCAGCAGAGAACATGGCTGGAGTAAGCCATAAAGATTCTAGGAGTATGTATTTTCACTGGTTTGAGCAAAATCATATATACAAAACATTCCATGTTATCACAGAGATGTAAGGACCATGTTTTTGTCCCTTGAGACTTAATTAGAAGAAATTCTTACTGTTTTGAAAAGCTTTTCAAAATAAAGGCTTTAAGAAGTAAAAATATGAAAAAACCCAATCACTTAGGGAAGTACTGCTCCAAAATATGTAATTACAGCATATATTTGGTGCCTATATAGGTAATTACTGAAGTGGTGAAGCTGAAGGAAGTCTATTTAAAAACAAAACAAAACAAATGAATCAAAGTTGATTAGCCAAATATAATATGCAACTATAATTCTTACAGTACCATAATTCTATGAATCTGTGTAATCAGCATCTGAGCTAATTATGCAAAATTTCCATAAGAATAAAATGTCTCGAAAACCACTTTCTAACTCTTATCCTTATTGATTTAAATAAATCCTTTATGTGATTAAGACATCACCATGTCTGTTTCAATTCATTAGAGGTACTTACTAAATATGAAATATTGATCTTTTATTTTCTTGCCTATAGTGTTGTCCTTAAGTAGAACTGTCTAAGCTACTACATGAATGTAAAATTTATACTGTAAAATAACCAGCAAATTGTGACTAGAAACCATGTGAAACTTCAGCTGAATGCTAGTTGCAGCTAATATCTCTGGACATGTTCAACCTTAAGGCATTGTAGTGCACTCCTTTTTGGGGGAGTGGGCAGTAAGAATGATGATTTCTGAGCCCCAAACTCAGTCCAGTAATATCTTCTGTTTTTTTTACTGCTCCCCTGCAAAGCTCCATAGATGCCCAGGTAAAAAAGAAAAATCTAGAGATATTAATCATGAGTATTATAGGTACTATGCAAAGGAATGCTCTGTGGCTAGCTGTCAGTTGTCTGCTGGAACTTAAGGCTCAGTTAACTGTCTAAAAATTAGGATGCTTTTCAAAACTAGAGTGGGGGTAGAGCTCTGAGGAAGTTTTTTTCTGTATAGCAGGGACCCTAGAAAGCCTGTTAACCCAAGCCTTATAAATTTCTCCACCTCACTGTTCTCACTTTTTATTCCTCAGTCTGGTCCTCATATATAGAGCCACAAGCTTGATTTTATCATGTTTCATAAGAGAGCATAAATATCAATTTTTAAAGGAGAATCCAGTTTATCTTCAGTGAGCACTATGTGTGACCTAATAAATGGGACCAACCAGTTATCTGACTAATCCAAGAATAATCTGTGAATCCCGACCTTGATTAGCCGTTCTGTGCTTTAGCTCAGGCAGAAGAATAAAACTTGCTGTGCTTCTCAGTAGTTACCCAACAGTTCAGTGGATGACTTGGAATGAAATCCAACATCAGAATGAGGGGTCCTCCTGGATTTTTGGGCTGCAACACTTATGTCCTTTTAGCAATATTCTGCTGTCTTGTCAACCTATTTGACTCACAGTAGTACTCAGTATATATTTGTGGATGAGAATTGTAGAGTCATCCCATTTGAGAGAGATAAGCTCTACAGTTCTTTTTGTATTTACATAGGGATTGGGGGGGATTATAAGAATGTATTTTAAAATTTGAACATAGAGCACAAATCTACTCTCATATTAATAAAACAGCCAAGTAAATAAAATGCTATTTAACACAAAAATTAACTAACGTTTTTCTTGCATATCTTTGGAGCTCCAGTATTTTCTAATGTAAATAAATATTTTCCAGTTAGCAGCTTTAAAGTTGATTGCTTGGTTGTTTTAAAGTCAAGTGCTTTTTATTATCTTTTTTATTATAATTACTTTTCAAATGTTTGATAAATGAAATCTGTTTATTACTTTAGAATGTTATAAAGAACTTTACTTTTATAATGTGAATAAGGAAAATTCCTTTTAAATACAAAAGACAGTTTTAATTACACTTCTGTTTCATAGGACAGGAACTGATTTGTTTTTCCATTATGTATTTTCTTTCCACTCTAGGCCTTTTCTCAAACAACAGAGAATGTATTTTGTATTTGCTCAAATGCTGTCTTCTGTATCCACATGGTTGGCCATAGTTCTTCTAATATTTATCAGCCTTTTCCCTGAGATTCTCCTGATAGTATTAAAGAATGTAAGAAGAAGAAGTGCCAGGGTAAGAACTACGTTTATATTACAAACTGATTTTTGGAAGGGGCTTCAATATCTACCATGAAATAAAAATCTTATTTAGAAAATTGCATTAGTTACAGCATGTTAAACCCCTCCTTACAGGTTCATCACTTAATTTCCTCTTCTGCATAAAAAGTATAGTAAAAACTTCGTTATCCAATACAGGTGGTAAGTAGTTTCCTTAATAGTGTTCTATGTGACCTTTAGCAATCCATATGGAGTATTACATATGCTCCATATGGAATTTTAAATGGAAAAATGATTTTTTTTCTTTAGCCTAGAATTTTCACACCAGGAATTTCCACACCAACATTCCAGCTTTAACCTTAGATATTTCACTGTGGGTTGTTCGCAGATTTTTTTTTTTCAGTTGGTAATCCCTATTGCCTTTTTCAAAACTTTCCCGTTCCTTTAATTATAGTGCTGCTTAATCTCTGAGTTGCTTCTAGCCCTGTCTGTCCAGCAGTATAATTGAACCAAAGAAAATTTTCTGGATGTGATTTCTACATCCTTACCCTCCTGAACACACTTGTAAAAATTCAAGATTGTTTTATAAGTGTGTTTTTATTGTTACTGCTTAAATTGTAACCTTTTGTGGAAATGAGAAGTTATTGCCCTCTGGCAGCCTAATTGCTTGGTCCTGCATTGTCTGATATCTTTGAACATTTCTATAAAAGTCTTTACAGTGAAAGGGATAGATTAGCCTGGGAGGAAATCTGGCAAATTTTGACCAACACGTTAATTAAATATGTCATTACTGCCAACACTCTCATTTTGCCAAACAAAACCCCGTTTCTATCATATTGACACCAACTATATCTTGAAGCCCTCCCCCCCGGGGCAACATTTTCATGTAATAGTCTAAGCTATATCTCCTGACCTATTTGATCAAATTTGCCGATTAGTTTAGCCACAGTGCTGGTTTGTCTCAATATTTTTTTCTGGCCTGTTGAATTGATAGAATCCAGTGGTTGTCATCATACAGACAGAAGGAACTAAAATAATTATAGTGGGAATATCTTCAGTGATTAGATATATAAAAGAGGAGCATCATTGTTACAACTCAGTATTGGCCCCAATCAAAAGCAAATAGACTACCAGTGGCAAAAGCCACATTGATTCTTGGTATACAAGGCCAGTCAGTGTACAGTTAAGTGGTTAGAACTTGCTTTAATTCCCTGCTTCTGCATGCCTTATGGGTAGAACTGGACACAATAATGTTAACCTAGCTAAGACTGCCTTGGTCTGCTCTTTAATCTTTCCAGTAGACCCCTGACTAACTTCCTTCAGCCTGGCATTTAGTCTTAGGATGGGAAAGTGACATTTACTTATATGATTTTTACCTTAATACCAGTTGAACAGGGGTAAAACAGATTGATATAATAGGTTCCTCCCAAAATGGCTCAAGTGGCAATTTGAATAAAGCCAATTAAAAAATGTCACAATAATAAATGGTTTGGGGACTTGTTATAATAGAGAATTTGTCTGGGAAGAATCTCTTGAGTTGTTCTTCCATTCTCCTTATTTGGAAGTATACTTTGGGGTGCTCCTAAATGTTTTTCTTATTTGGGGTAGTGGAGCGCATACTAAATAATGGCTCACACCCAGCTTCATGCTCTATAGACGTTACAAAAATCTTCAGAAATCCAAACTTTCAAACATATTATCTTATCCTCCTCTTTAGGCCCTTTCTTTAAAAAAATTACTTAGGTGATGAGAGCTACTAACAGACATAAAAAAATTAGATACTGGCTGATGGTGACTTTTATATAAATTAAATGGAGGAATTCTACAAAGCAGTCACAGATAAAGACTAGAACATTCCTAACTTCTGTTGAAAGCATGCAATTCTGGGACTGCAGCCCTATTTACATAGCAAGCATAGAATGTTGCTAGGGGTTCAGCATGAACTTTGTTTGCCATGGGTGGAAGAATTCTAGTGTCTGTGCTGTAGCTTGGCATGCTGATGTGCTAGAATGATGAGGAGAATTTCCATAATCACATTCATTCATTCATTCATTCATTCTTACCTTCATTGAACCAATGAACATGTTGAACCACCTAATGATGAACATCTCTCTTTATATGCAATGTCTGAAAGACTAAATGGTTTCAGACACTATGTGATTTTGAGAGTTGCAGATGAGACAGAATGTTGTGGGCACTCAGCAGTGCTGCTACTTTTTTTTTCATGTGAGAAAATGCAAGAGCAAAGTAGTGCATATGAATGCATAAAGGCCAACTAAAACATGGCAGCCATGGTTATTCTGATAAGTCACATGTTTACATAAGACCCTATTTGGCTATATCAAAGAGACAGAGCCCACTTCTAAGATAAAGGAGAAAGAATATCTTAATGACCAACAGTCTGCCATCTGGGTGACTTACTACTTTGTTCAATATCCCTTGTTAAGGCATTGGCCTCATTTTAAAGAGAAGTAAAATATTATTTTACACTAGTTTGGCCTCACACCTGACACACTCCCTAATGGGATAAAGGATGTGTCCCTACCTATAAATAGAAGGTTCTTTGACCACCAACCAGTAAGCATCTTGGTACTTAGTACACACTGCCAGAAATGCCTATGGCAAGTAGGCTCACAGTGCTATCCTCATGTTGGTCTTGCCAACATGAAGGGAATTGAGCAGTGGGTAGTGAAAATATCTCCATGACTTTAGAGAAAGCAGCTAAGACATTTACATGTAACAATTACAGAAGCAGCCTTCTGGTGACTTCCATTCCCTGAGGGCCCACTATAAGTTAGCTACTATACTAGGTGTTGGTAAATCAGGGATGAATCAAAGGAGGCTCCAGTCATAAGGAGTCTCACTCTGATTAAGTTATAAAGTGGATTCATGTGATATAAATCAGAATAGTAGACTAAATGATACGGCTTGATTTAAGACAACTGAGGTATTTCAGTGTCTGCATCACTACCTCCTGAAGCCACAATAGCCAAGTTCTGCCTTGGCAGTAGCATTGTAAAGAATTATGCTATCTTCAAAAAGGTGAAGGGATTGAAAAGTACAGAATAGTTATGGGATGTAAAGTACAGCATAGGGAATATAGTCAATAATATTCTAATAACTATGTATGGTGTCAGATAGGTACTAGATTTATCAGGATGATCACTTTGTAAGTTATACAATGTCTAATCACTGGGTTGTATACCTGAAACTAATATAATGTTGGATGCCAACTGTAATCAAAAAATAAAAAATAAATTATTTTTTAAAAGGTGAGGCTAAAAAGGAATTCTGCTGTCTTCAGAAATAGGTTCCCTAAGTAATTTAAATCAAGGATATGGTTAAGTTATATATTCCTCAGCTATATTTTCAGCAATATGCTTAATTTTTTTAGCTAAAATTCCATCATTAAGGATCATAGGTCTTTTCTGTTGCTTATAACTCAACAAAGCTGCACTGCCATAGTGCTGCCAGTATATTATGAAACTACTATTGAGCACTGAACAGTGGAGCAGCAGGATAACACTTCGAAGAAAATTTAAAGTTTAGGATTTGGGGTATTTCAAAAAATTGTGTTCCCCTCTGAACACAATTGTTGGGCTATCTCTCAGTCAGTAAAATACATCTAGACTTTTTGGCCAAGTAATAAATACCACTTCCCATTTCCAATGGAGGAATTTCCACATATAAGTTTTCCCATGTAAACCACAACAATCAAAAGGGAGGCTTGACTTTGCCTACTAGACATAGGGACACTATAATCCAATGGGAAGGGACCCAACAACAAGGTGAAGCCTAGTATGGGATGTCTGCACAAACAAAAAGAAATACTCCATTATGAAGGGAGCTCTTTCAGAGTGGAAGACAGGAAAAGGAAGACTGTCAGCTACCTGAGCAAAATTCCCAGAGAAAGCACTTTGAAATTTTTGGAAAATGTAATTTATCTTTATAATAACAACAGTGACAATCATGATTACTATTGAAATGCTGACAGTCACGTACACCCATTGGTTCTGAGGAAAATAACACTGTGAACTGGGTTAGACAAAAATAAAGTTGAATCCTAATGTCATGGCTGTTGAGATGGACATTTATGCATTGGCCTCTTTGACATACTGCTAACTGAGCCGGTGTCAAAGCTCTCTAGATGACTGCAAAGGAATGTGGAAATTTCATACTGTTTCAGCTCATTATCTCCCATCCTTCTCACCTCTCTCCCCTACCAATTGCTAGCTATATCAATTTGATTGCTTTAGATATTTTCCATGCTCTCTACTGCCTTCTGTACTTTCATATTTCCTTTTTTCCGTTATAAAGTAACCGAATCTATAAGCTTCTAAATTTTATGATTCATAGAAATAATTTTATCTTCGATGGTTGGATACAAGGTTTTGAGTGCACCAAAATATGCTTGTCATTACAGTCTTAAGTAGATAGGCTTGTATATTAAACATGGGGTTGAGGGACTTGGTATCATGTTAATCTTATAAGGTTTTTGCCCACAAAATAGAAGACAAAGCAATTTTTAACGAAAAAAATTATAAACTAATATTTCTCTAGCTTTATCCATTTATAATTTGCATGTTACCAACTTTATTTAAGGTAAAATATGAACAGGAAAAATGTAGTAATTTTAAAACATGAATAAATCAAACTATTTGCCTTTAAAGTTTGTTTATTAGATTCTGCTGGATACATGTATTACTTTAACTGGTATCTTTTTTTAAGCCTATTGTCATTAGTCATAAGTAGATGATATGGGTAATTAGCAGCATTGTTAAATTTATCCCTGCAGTTGACTACTCATCTTCTGTTTGCCTTGGGCAATGCCAAAACCAAGTCTCAGGCATACAATAAGAAAGAAAAACATAACCTTTTAGGTTTTCTGATTAAACTATATCAACACTTGCTTTTTCTAGGTGTTTTAAAGGAAAATTTTATAGCTCTTTAGCCTGCCCTTTTAAAGAAGGCTCTGTAAGAAAAAGGAAGAAACCCATCAAATTATGTTAGAATAAATGTAGTTAAGCACTAGCCCAGAGACAAATGATTCTAAAGTGTGGTTTCATCAAATGTTTTCCCCACAGTGCTTGTTTTGATTAGGTTTTTAACCTGCAGCTGCCCAAAGGCAGTCAGTCCCTTCCTATTGTATCTGTGTAATTGCATAAGGGAGCTAGTCACTTCAAGGTAGGTTGGTGATGCAGCCTGGACATAGCTCTCCAACCAGTGGATTTTGAACAGTGTAGCTTAGTGAAATAATGATTAGAGATAAGCCTTATTTCAATGAGAAGCATGTTTTTAAATTATTTTATTCAACATAATCAATTTTCCCATTAACTAAATAATCTTAAATTGATATATAGAGAAGTAGTAGTTTGCACATATAATAGACTATTCCTAACACTAATTCTACTTTTACTTGTAACGTCTTCAATACTAACATGCCATTTCGACTTTTAATTCTCAGGGTTTCTTTTTAAATGTCTTACATTTCAGAGAATATTTACTTTTTTTTTTTTTTTGGTTTCTGCATTTCTCTTTTTTCTACTGCAATTTTCCACCTTTTGTGCAATTGTGAACAAGGTAACGAAACGCCTCCCTTCCTCAGGAACATCTACTATCTTCATGCTTTCTCAAACTTCCAGCAATCACAGTTTCTCTTGGAGTGAATAAGGTGATTTCCTTTCTTAATGTACCAACTTGCTTGCATTCTCATTTGCTTGACACCATTTTCTGGTTCTCTATGAAAAATTACTTCTCATGACTCATTTTTATATCTTCTACTGATACTTAAAAGAGTATTTGTCATTTTTCTTTAATCATTTGTTCATCTTCTCAAATTGTCACACTGGACAGGAAATTATTTCAAAAACTTGGACAGTAAGTCTCTGGTCTCGTTGATTCCTACTGTGCAATAGAAGCCACATCAGTTCACCAACACAGGACTGTTTTGCACAATTTCTCTTTGTTCGGTACACTGACAGCACTGCTACAACTCTCAGAGGTGTTCACCAAAAGGATGGTATGGTTTACTAATCAAAATATATTGACTCATCTACCACATAACCTACCAGTGTCATTTCAAAAACCCAAGTTTGGCACATATTACTAATGTCTGTATACTTCTACCATGAAAACAATTCAATTCAAGTTGGACACTTTCTTAGGTCTTTAAATGTATTCATTTAAATGTTATGCATTTGTTATACTGTAATCATTTGTACTTTTGGCCAGAAGAGTAGTCTACAGAAAGTGATTTTTTTCTTCTACATTTTTAGCACCAGGTAGGTTAACCAATCTTCAAATCCTTTAAGTATTTTTACCTCACTATTACAGAGAAATCTGAGCTGTAAAAAGGCATCTGACTCATTATCCGCCAGACCTTCAGTCAGACCTCTTCTTTTACGAACATTCTCAGACGAATCTAATATATTGTAACAGGTACCTAGTGTTAAGTGGGCTGGCTTTAAAGAAAAAGATTAACAGCATTATAAAGAAAAAATGAAACTATCACTCTAAATTTTTTCTGCTGTTGGTGTGGTGAACTTTATATTATTCTTTGCTAAAATATAAAGATGCATTACTTGGAATATGTGGAAATATGTATTTTAAATTTGCTACCCCCCCCAATAAAATTTTAGGCATTTTCCAGAGCTGAAGGTTAATCCAATATATTTAATTTATAAGGGGCAAGTAGTCATGGCAGTGCCATCATATGAAAATGCTCAATAGTAATCAAGAAATATAATTTTGATTTTAAAATGTGTTTGGAAAATTGAAAAGAAATATTCCAAAATTGCATCTGTATAATATCAAGTCAGTTTAGCATTGCATGTTCTTTTGGGAATTATGTGAGAATAATTCAATGTGTTTGTATCTCCATGTGCTGTGTCTGTGTGTTTGCAGGTTTAAACTTAATGTCCTTGTAAATGTCTGATCCCCAAATATATATTAATGAGCCAGTCTAATCACTTTTAATGCCAAGTTTTATTCAAGCTAAATGTTTCAACTTTCAGAGGTAGTAAAATCTTTCCTAGCCATTCAGGGGGGTGCTACCCTAATTATATAAAATGCTTCATAATTAATTTTTCTAAAAATGAGTAAATACCTTTTATATCATTCTTTCATTTGCCCAAAAACTATTTGGGAGGAATTTATATGCTATGGGAGGAATCCTTGAACTCGGAATGACTCCTCCATGTGTATTTTGTTTCCCACTGCAGGGGCCTCTGTTACCCCAGACCTTTATAGGTCTTTTATCCATTAATGGAAATTTAGAGTAATTCATTAATGAGGTTTACAAGCTTGTCAGCTTGGAAACAACTCTGTACAGCTTAGGGCAGGGCTGTCTTTCATGCACACATAAAAATGAATGATCATCATGAAAGAAATTGCAAGTCAGTTCATTTTGAAGCTAAGAATTATAAATCCACCTCATAGGCCCACTCTTTCATTAGCTATCAACTTCCCCACAGTCCAGCAAAGGAGAAATATTGAACGAATGGATTGATAACGTTGTTTCTTCTGCATCTGCTGTGTTATTTTGGAAGCTGACTAATTTTGCCTCTGTCAGCATCTCCCTCGCCCAACCCCCATTTTGAGCAACTCACCTGCTTATATTTTCCCTCAGTAATGAATCTGCTTCCCAGTAGCCTTCAAAGTTTTTTGCCCCTTTGTCCCAGATAGCCTTGTCCTAAGCTGTGTGGTGCATTTTAGCCATACTGTTTCCAGCTAATTGTGTATCCCCCTGGATTGCTTTCTTTAGCTTGGTCTGTGATTTGGGGGATTGGCTGGGTAGCAGACACTGCTATTGCTTTTGGACTCTCCAGGGCCTTAACTCCTACAATGCCTAATATAGAGCTGAGGAAATTATAGCTTTTAAGCAATTGTTTTATTTTAATGTAAATTTATTCCAGGAATTCATATTCATGTGGAATTATTTCTTCTCCAAGGAAAATATTTGACAAATTAATTTAGCCCCACTGAGTTTGTCCCATGGTTGATAAGGTGACACCTTTTACAAGTTCTCAATGTGAATGGCAATCTTATTTTCATTAGTCACCATAACCTTATCTGAAAAATTAATATTAAAATATGGAACATAAAAAGAAATAGAAGGTACTCTGGAGGACTTCTAGTCCAACCATGGCGAGGAAGATGCACCAAGAAAATAGCACACCTCTTTAAAGCCTTCCACTACTCAGGTTTAAAAAGGTTGGATTTTAGAGAAGAGAACCAAAGTTAGTCTCCCTCCCATGACATAGGGCTTCTACTTTTCAACATACTTGATTTACACTCAGTTATCCATTGTTCTGTCATGCCCCATCCCAATCATAGCATTTGATGATCTTTAGAGGACAGAAAATAATCTACAGATTTTTAGGGATACTTTTTTCTTTCCTAAAAAGATAATGAATAAGAAAAACAAGAGTCATTTGACCCTTAGATACATCATCTACCAAAAAGAAAATTAACTTCACCCTGGCTGGTGTAGTACAGTGGTTAGAGTGCCAGCCTGTGCACCAGAGGGTCTCGGATTCGATTCCCAGTCAAGGGCATGTACCCGGGTCACATGTGGGAGGCAACCAATTGATGTGTCTCTCTACTCCCCTTCTCTATCTCCACCTCCTCCCTTTCATTCTCTCTCTAAAAATCAATGGAAAAAAATATCCTCACTCCTTGGGTGTGGATTAAAAAAAGAAAATTAACTTCAATATTACAAGGAGGAAACATGTTTCTTTCAATAAAGAAAAAGTACTTCCACAGCATTCTTTCAAAACTATACATTTTCAGATACTCTGTCAAAATTTGTACATCCAAAACACAGTAATTTGTTCATTCATTCAGCATGTCCTGAGAATCTGCTATGTGCCAGATACTGTGCTAGGTGCTGAAGATAGAAAGATAAATAACATGTCCCTGTTCTCAAGGAGCTCATGGGCTACAGGAAGGGATCTTGGTGAGGTAAGCCTCTGCTGTGGTGGGTAGTCCTAGTGATAACAACTGTTAGGAGAACCCTGGAGAAATCCAAAAGCAAAAAGCAAGTCTGAATCTTACTCAGCTAACAAATGATCATTGAAAACTGGTTATTGTGTCACTCTTTTTCCCTGCATGTGAATAAAACTTGGCACTTTGTTAAGACAGTCGCTTTACTCTCATAACAAAATTTACTACTTGATTTATTTTTGAAAATACTATACAGATGGTTTTACATTGTTATTATTAAAATAAACCTTTTAACTGTGTATGTTTTAAATTTTTCAGAATCAGAATCTTGAACTGCCTATGTTATTGTCCTACAAGCATATTGACAGTGGTTACAGCTAGAAAAGAAAGCATGAAGAAACAACTACAAAAAGTTAATCATCTCAGGATACTCGATATGCAACAAACTAAACAACTCTCTTATGTCTAGGGTTCAGAATAAATGTCCATTAAAATACCAAATGACTATTGTAAGCATTTACAGTTATTGTAAGTAGCCATTATGGCCAAAGCTCTATGTTACAAATTATATGAAAGTTGAAAGCAAGAATATTTACAATTACTGGCTTTAGATAGAATAATATAATTACCAAGTGGGTGTTCTTTTAACCCATGAATTTTGTGAATGGATTTAAATAGAATAGTATAAAATAGAAGTCATGCAATGGGAATGAATAGATTTTGCTAATATTTTTTTTTCTGCCTGGTGGAAGAAATCAGCTCTTTGGATCACACTTCTTGTTCCTGCTGAATGATGATCTACCTTAAATTATTTTTTCAACACATGAAAGGAATACTTGAAAGTATAAGAAGACTAAATGATATCAATGCATCAGATAGAATAGTTAATCTTTTCTGTTTACCCACATGCTAATTTTGTCTTGATAGAATGTCCTTGTCAAGAAATGAACTCTTACGTGGAAATAGTGTTAGCCCTGGGTGTTTTCCTGAGAATAAAAATTTTTTTTATTTAATTTTATTTTTGTTCTTCTGAATAAACCCCAAGTATTGGGTGTTTGGCTACTAGCTTTGAAAATAAAACATTTCCAATCACTTAGTAGCCCCTCAAAATAGTTCAGATATAACATATTTTTCCCATATTTTACTAGGATCTGAGGTAAGGTGGGCCAAACCACAGTTATATAAAAGTAAAGGGCATTCTGAACATCAGTCTTTTATGACTTTGTGTAGAGAGGAAATAAGAATAGCTTATTTCAAACTTAATGGTTTTTATTTGAAAGAGGCTACACATATGCATACATGCAGCACTTTTTTTTTAACTTGCCAATTTGGGAGGGAAGGATCCATCCCAGGATGGTGTTTCAGCCGGCAAAGCCATAACTGAACATATATGCTGTCTCTCTTAGCAAAGTTGAATGGGTAATGGTCTAACACTAAATCATGAGATTCACATTGGTAAAGTCCTCAACTTACTGGGCTAGAAGGAGATTTTATCCTGCTAATGAATCCACTTAAAACGTAAAAATTGAAATATCTTTATTACATGGTAAAATTAAACATATTTGGGGAGATATAAATAACTTCATTTGACAACTCAATTAAAATGGTCTTTTAAAAAGTGTTTTCATACCAGTTTCCATTTTTGGATGTCTTTTCTGACATGCCTGTACTATTATTAGTGTTATATTGTACCTTTTTGGAAAAGTATTTGATTCAATCTGTACCAATCTATTTATATAGTCCAGATGGCACATTTGATTCTTCCATGTATATTTTGTATTAATATTTAGGTGTAATTTTTCTTAACTTCTAGAAGGACATATTTCACTTATCAGAACCATTCCATCATTACATTTCATTATTTTCTTTGTTGTCATCTCTCAGTATTATTTTTGAGTATTTTCTTAGGTGTCATTCACACCTTACCTGGTAGCCTGTATTTGAGGTAGTCTGCTGAAAAGTCATATATTCTTTCCCTATTCCAGAGAGCCAAAAACTCAGACCCAGGAAAGCTTATGATTTTTTTTTTAAGAAGTACTTTTTAAAAAACATTTTAAAATTGATTTTTTTTTTTTTAGAGAGAGAGGAAGGGAAATGGAGGGAGGGAAAAGAGAGGGGAGAGAGAGAGAGAAGAGGAGAGAAACATTGATGTGAGAGCAAGACATTGATCCGCTGCCTCCTGCATGCCCCCTACTGGGGATCAAACCCAGGCACAGGTCCTGACCGGAATCAAACCGGCAACCTTAAGGTGCATGGGACCATGCCCCCAACTGAGCCATATCGCCAGGGCTTGTTTTTATAGTTGTTGCTGTATTGTTATTGTTTTATGTAAGAACTATAGGGACTGTGAATACAAATGACAGAGCCACAATGGATAAAGAGTCTTGTTTAATGCAGAACCATTGGAGATATGACATAATCAGAATATCTGTGGTAGTGGAAATATAACTGGTAGCATATAAAATTTATTGCAGCCTGGAAGAAACATGAGTAAGGGGGATTTAGAATTATATCTCAGCTACACATTACTGCAGTTCAAATTCACAAAGGCAGTGATGTTTAATATCATGGTTTAGATCCTTGAGAGGGACCTGACTTTCCTTTTTGAAAGACATTTTATTAATGAGCTAAAAAATTGACTAGTGTGGGGTTAACAGATGGAATAACTTGAAGTAAGGTATCCAGTATGCCCTATAATCTAACCACCTTATTTTGTGACAGAGGAGAAAATGTAACGCTAGGATCATATTACATCATTTGAATAATTTTGAACTATCAAAATGTCCTTGTAATTTCACAACTGTTGTCAATTGTTCGAGGATGTTACCTACTAAACTGAAAAAATAAATTCAATGCCTACCACATTTACACCAGCAACAGTATAAATGCAAGCATAAATTTGCAAAATTCATAATAATTTAGTGATGAAATTTTTAATAACATGCAGTATATAAATGCAGATTTTATGCAAATGTTGATAAAATCATTTTTCAGCTTGCAAAATGGGACTGCAGTATGACATTTTTCACTTAAGCAATTTTTTACATCTATGTTGTTGCTTTCTATAATGAATGTGAATGCCATCTTTTACGAATGCAACTTTTTCATTACAGAAATTTTGTTTGATCTAATCAATAAACTTTGGTTTAATATGATTGATATTTTAGCCTCTTTTCTGGAAACATCTCAGTTTGACATGATATGGAATGGAAGGGGTTGATGGAGGGCAAAAGGGGACATATGTAATACTTTCAATAGTAAAGTTTTAAAAAAAACAATATGGAAGCAGTTTGGAGAAGTTTCTAATCTCTTTGTACAAGTCACAAAAGGTTGACCATTTATATATGTGTTCAACTGGCATTTTAGGGTGGTATCTAATTTGTGAAGTTTATGGTATTGGTAGGAATATTGAATAAGACTGTATCTTGTTACTGCATAGTAAAAGTCCAGCCAAATCAGCAAATACATATTGAAAGGCTACTGTGTGCTTGCTGCTGCCCACACATTGGAGGTGATGTGATGTATGTTTTTTGTCTCCATCCCATTGAAATCATTTGATTCTTAAGTAGCCAAGATGCAGGAATTTTACAATAGCTTGAAACTTGAGCCAAAATATGTGTGTGCACCTCTCTCTTTTCCCTCTCCCCAACTTGTCTACCTACTTTCCCACCTTCTCTGACACACTCAGCCTGCATCCAAGGCCTTGTGAAAGTCCCTTTTGAAAAATCCTGTTCTACTTGACTGCTAAGAAACTAAAGTTTCTCCACTGCAGCTTGATGCGCTACATTTTCACACTTCAGTCTCTTTTTTGTGGCCTTTTTTGTGGGAAATGTGCTGTATTTGGAGATGAGACCTGAGTTAAAGTTTCAGCTTTGCCACTTAGAGCCATTTCGTCTCAATCCTTTTCTCACCTGCAAAATGGTGTCTTGAGAGTGAGGGGTGGTCAAATGAGGTAAAGGATCAAAATTACTTTGTAAAATTTTATTTCTTATTCAGATGAAAGCATTATTTTTATATTAAGGGGTTATTTTTTTTACTTTTAAAATGAATAGTTGTCATTTACCAAATTTTCATAAATGTGTCTTAGATTCTTTCTACCTTCTTAGAATTAGTCTATTCAGGCTTCCTTCCCTTCCCCCATCCAACCTTTTGGGGAGCTGTCTCACTGCTGAGTCTACCCAGGATTGGCCATTAAAATAAGTATTGTGAAGGTCTTGAGTGGTTTGGCCCCTTCAACAAGAAGCATATGCAAAGGTTAGGAGCTGAGGTTATCACTATGGTTATTCAGTGAATGTGTCCATGGCTGAAGTGCTGGACGCATACTAATGAAGCTTGAAAGGCTGAGTTCTGGGAATAGCTGTCAGGGGAAAAGAGTGTTAATTATTTCATGACATTTAAAATTTTTTTGACACATTTTTTTCCAGCAACTGATGGGCAAGGAAATGGGCTCAGTTCCTAGTACGCAGACCTATTATGCTGAATAAATATTCCTGTGTGGTAGGAGCTAGTTCTTGCTGCAGGCCGATATCTGAAAGGAACAGTGCACCTCTTGGCCAGCGGCAGGTCGTTGGCTCTGACTCTTTGGGTGGGAGGGGCAAAGGATGCTCATGGCTAAAATCTCTGCTGCAATAGGTTGGTGAAGGCCTGGGGTGGGGCCAGAACCAGGTGAAGGAGGGCAATGGGGAAAACAAGGGGAGGCATCTGTAATACTCTAAAAATAAAGATTTATAAGAAAGCTCAGGCTTGAGCAATGAGTATGAGGGAAGCAAAACGTATTTTGGGCAATATTGGAAACTTCTATTAGTAGCTTTCATGGTACAGAACCCCCTGCTTTAGTGAGACACAGATAGTCTCTCCCTGAGTCCCACTTTTTGAAATAAAAGATGAGGTTATTTTTTTAAGTGCCTGTCACTGCTTTATTCTCTTCATCAATTTGCAAGGGCATATTTCCTACTAGTAAAGTCACTAAAATCCCAACTCATTAGCTAACACAGCCAAGCACTGTTGTAATGACTTTACATGTATTCATTTGACAGATAGGGAAGCTTAGTCATAAACCAAGGTCACACAGTTTAGTAGAGTTAGATTTTGAACCCAGGTATTCTGACTGGAGTTTATGCACTTAACAAGGACCCTATTTTCGTCATTATACTACCTCTGATGGCATGAATAAACATAAAGTGTTTATTCATGTAATATTATGAATATTAACACAAAACATTAACCATGAGAGCATCAGAGAGGCACAAGTTGAGGGGTAGTCTACACAATAACTAGTTTGTAATCTTCAAAATTATCAAGATTATGAAAGACAAAGACTGTCCTAACTGGTTTGGCTCAGTGGATAGAGCATCAGCCTGCAGACGGAGGAGTCCCGGGTTCGATTCCAGTCAAGGGTATGTATGTACCTTGGTTGCGGGCACTTCCCTAGTGGGGGGTGTGCAGGAGGCAGCTGATCGATGTTTCTATCTTTCTCCTTTCCTCTCTGTAAAAAAATCAATAAAATATATATTTTTTAAAAAGACAAAGACTAAGGATGCCCACATAAAGGAAATTAAAATGACATAACTAAGTACAGTGAATGGTCCTCAGTTGGATACTGAACCAGAAATTGGACAGTAGTGCGATTATTGGTAAAGTTTGACTATGGTAAATATATAAATCATATCAATGTTAATATCCTGAGTTTTGAAATTGTGCTGTGATTATGTTAGATTTTGAGGAATCTGAGGGGAAAGTACATGGGGATTTTTTCTATTATTTTTGCAACTAATATCTGAAATTTTCAAATTATAATTTGAAAAGTTACACTAAAACAAGCATACAAATAATGGGAGAGAACATTAAATTGAAACTGTAGGAGACAAATATAAATTATTAGCTGATATTTACATAGCACTTTCTGGAATGGTTTTACATCCCTCATTTAATCTTCACAACAGCCTTGTTTAGAGAACATTAAACTCCAGATTCTTACATATAAAGACACAGGCTCAGACAGGTTAAGTATGTTGCCCCTGGTCCCACAGGACTGAACCCAGGTGTCAGCCACACTTTTCCCACTACATCACACTGCAGTTTGGGGCTTCTAAAAACATGTCCCACTGGATTCTAGAGATTAATAAAACAAACCTTACTGCAGTCATTTTCCTGTGGGCCCATCAGGATGCAGTCATTCATATTCCAAATCAAACCATTAACAGGAGTCATGTCAACACTTAGTGTTGAGGTGGGTGGCCTCAGAATGCCCCAGGTCTAGGTTTTCCCTTTTATCCCTAAACTGGGTTTCCCTCAAGTACTGCTTATTCAGGTGTCCCAGGCAAGTTTTAGCCTACCCCTGCCTCCTGCCATCTGAATGAGAATACAAGCAAGCTCCTTCAATTTAATTATGAGGCATCAGGTTAATCACCTACCTCTACCTCAGGATCTAAAGTATGTACTTCATTTAATGCAAGAACATGGATATATGGCAGCACTCCATCTCAAATGATTCCACCCCATTCCTCTATCAAAATCTGATTGAGATTATTGTTATTCAGCATTTCCCAAATTGGGTTGTATGAAACTAGAGTCCTAGAAAATGCTATTCGGTTTTCTTCAAAGAGTGGGTTCCGTGGGTGCCGGAGCCAATTCTAGCATGTCGTAATTGCAAGAGTTTCATCAAAAGGCTGATGGAACTTGGGGACTCAACAAGGGCTGAGTCACATATGTTGTCACCTGTTGGGAATGGCTGATGGCATTTCCCCAAACCTGAAAAGGGATGATTGTTTGCTACCAGACAACTCAGGGCATTTTAATCTAATTCCTCCATTCTGACAATGCCTCTGTAAACGAAACCCTGCCCCTTTGAAGTGTATATCTCTGCCTCGCCTCAGGACAATTTATGTTAATCGCCTCAGGACAATTTATGTTAATAAAAAGCATGGGGTCCTGAGACTAGGAGATCTTAGTTTCTTTAGCTAGGCTCCTCTGACCCCCATATGCCTTTCAAAATTATACTTCGTCTCTGGACTCTTTAAGTTACACACACAGCCTTTCTCCAGATAGCTGAACCCTTCTTAATGCTGGAACAAGAGCACCAACACCTGGGCAGATAACTTTGGGAAGTTCTGTGTATGATTGTCCCATTTGAGAAGTTACAATGCATACTAGAACATTCAAGTCTGAGAGTTATAAAATTAAAGAGAGAAATTTGACTTTGTTTAGCCCACTTTCAAACACTGGACCAAGGAACCCATTTTGTGTAGGTTATCTCACAACAAATCATTGGATTCCAGTTTTGTGTGGTATTTCACTTTGAGAAATAAAACAATAGTAGGTTCTCTATACTAGTAACTATACAAATCACACACTCCTTCCCATTCGCTTGATGGCGTTCACTTTCATGATCTGAGAAAAATGTAAATATCATTTTTGAGCGAAAAGCATCAGTCAAGGCCCAAAATGGAAAGAGACCATCCCATGAATTAAAATAGAGGATACTTAATATAGGGAATTGATAGCATACGTGATGGCAGAACTGAAAAGCCAATTGGGAACTCTATGCAAAGCAGCCCACAGATTATAAGTCAGAGGTCAGAACCACTGTTAGGCTGGTGGGACAAAGAAGAGGTGGAGCCCTAGCTGGTTTAGCTCAGTGTAAAGTGTCAGCCTGTGGACTGAAGGGTCCTGGGTTTGATTCTAGTCAGGGGCATGTACCTCAGTTGCCGGCTCTATCTTTGTCCCATTGGGGCATGTGTGGGAGGCAACCAATCAATGTGTCTCTCTCACATAGATGTTTCTCTCTCTCTCTCTCTCTCTCTCTCTCTCTCCCCCCCCCTCCCACTCTATCTTTAAAAAAAAAGGTGGAATTCCTGGATCCTATGTCCTGGTCACTGGGCAGGAATGGGAATCACTGTGGACCTATCTAGCAGCTGGGGCCACAGAGTTTCAGTCACTTGGAGATGCAGCCTGAAGTAGAAACACTCATTTCTGCCTGTCCCCAGGCTTCCAGCCAGTGCCTTCAATTGGCTGGGAGCAGCTAACATGGGAGCCTGGGAAACGATTTGAAGGGGTCACTCACCACCCCTACAGTACAGAGCAGAGCTGTGAAGGGTGAGGAATGCATCTGAGGGAAAACAGGCCCAGAGCTGGCACATCTAGGATTTAAGGAGTCAGGT